TGAAAGTTTCACTCTCCCTCACATCCTACAGAATCTACAGAAATGTTTCAACTGAAAAGATTAATCGCTTGATGAAAAACACTTTGGATTTAAGATAAAAACCTTTTGTTTTAAACACGTTCTACACTGAGCTCCTCTAGTGAGTTCAGCTTAAACGTTTCATCTGCATCTGGTTCAGATTCTGTAAACAAAAAAAACAACAGAATATTTGCTATCCAATTATTAATCAGTTGATGCAAAAATTAATTAACAAGCATAACTAAAATATTCAATTTTAGAAAATATTTTTATTTAAAAAAGGATTTGAATTGTTTATTCGTATTTTTTATGCATTTCTTATGCAAAGTCTTATGTTGCTAAATGAAAAAACTGCAGAGGTTGACAATTTCTTTGAACGATTAATCGATTAATAGTCCAACTAATCAGTTAATCGACTGAATAATCGATTACTAAAATAATCTGTAGTTGCAGCTCAAGTTTCAACAAAAGCTGCACAACTTACTGAATCTAAATCATCGTTAAAGCCAGGTAGTAATGCAGCAATGCCTCAGAGAAGTCAACCTGTGAAGTTCTGCTTTCTGGAGCTGAACTAGGTCAACACTGATTCACAGTCAGGAAAATTGAGCTAAATGAGCGTGAATCGACCCGGAGCAGGAAGCAACTCGTGACTCGGACGGCTGTCAGCTGGTTGCCATGAACAACCGGCGATGAGGACGGACCAAGGGGTTCAGATGGTCATAAACACATTCCTTCATCAGGTCAGCGATCATTACTCCACACCAGACGGTTAAAATGTTGTTCAGCTGTTTTACGATCAGTTTTTATATTATTTTATATGAATATTAATTTTTTTATTATTGGGAGGTTTTTACTCTTCCAGCTGTAAAATCAGATTTTACAGCTGGTTTTTATCTCCATATTATTTTCTAAAGAAAGATTAGGTCGACATAGAAACGCTGTGTGAAAAACTAAGTACACCCCACCATTCAGCAGCCTGCAGGGACACTTTTAGCACCAACAGCTCTCCATAAATGGTGTGAGTATTTATTAATAAAAAAATCTGGTCCTGTAGGGACACTTTTAGCACCAACAGCTCTCCATACATGGTGTCAGTATTTATTAATAAAAAAATCTGGTCGACTCGTCTGTTTATTAAACGTCTCAAACATCAGCTGTCAGATAAATCCTCTCAAGTTTGACTCGGAATTCATCGCACAATAAATTGCAAAAATATATCGTAATATCAGTGTTATTATTACTGTTTATATAAAAAGACTCTAAATTCAGTGTTAAGAACTTTTAAATGTGTTTAACACTGATTAATCATGATTTATCAATTGTTAAATTAATTGCAAACTAATTTAGTTATTAATTAATAATTAACCAGAGTATACAGACTCTAAAAAAGGCCATTTACTGAAAGAATAACAGAGCTGTAATTAAACCAAAATGGTACAAGAAATATTTAATATTTTGGATTTAAGCTAAAAAAAAAAACTTCTCTGTCTAGAATATCAGGTCCTGATAACTAAGTTTTTTCCTGATCAAATCAATTTCTTCTAGCAGTTTTAACACATTTTTATGTCTATAATCCCATTAAACAAAAATGATTGTTGTGTACTCTGTTGTGTAACTTTTGAAAATATTTTCTGAATTTCAATTCTCTTTTTGAGAAAAACAAGTGAACAAAAAACTACTGGAGTCAAACAATGGGACAGACTGAATATGGAGCTAAAACAATGTCAAAACATCAACCAGTGTAACACAAAACTATCTTACTCACATTATACAGGGAAGAAGGGAATTAACACAAATATGTATGATAATGAGTTTCTTCCTTCCTTCTGTTGTTTTATTACTATTATTAGAAGATTATTATTGTTATTTTATTATTATCATAATTAGTTTGTTTAATTTGTTATACATATAAGACAAATTATGACGTATATTAAAGTGGAAAGGAGTTGACAGTTATTCTGTTGCTGTATGTCTGGTTGTTGTTTGTAATTTTTATTACTATTATTGCTGTGGGTCAGTAAATTTTCTGGTCCTGTTATGAGTCAGTTTGTAATGTTTTATGTAATATGTGTTTTAATGACCAATTTCTGATAATTACTGAGTTGGTAAGTGACATATTTTATTACGTTGAGATAAATACATGTTCACTTCTTCCTACTCCATTATAAACAGGAAAGTAAGCTAATTATTTTTGCTTCTATGTATGCACGTTTTCTCTTGTCCTACCGGTAATTTGTTTTCTTTGTTTTAAAAGCTAATACTTTTTAAGCTTTTTTCACGTTAAGTTCTTGTTATAAACCAAACTTTGTAATAAATCCGGGTTCAGCGGATTTGTGTGGTTCTCACCGCACGGCTCGGATCAGGAAGTAGAGGACTCCGATGATGGTGATGCCGATGAGGACGTACAGGGCCCGCTGGATCATGGAGCTGTCAGCCCCGAGGTTGAACCCGACCTTCTTGGTGCTTCCGCTGCCGCTCAGCGTGCTGTTGGCCCGGCTGGAGTTCGACACGGCGGGCTTGACCGTCGTGGGGCCGGTGGCGGCGGGTATTGTGGAGGCAGAGCGTACCCCATCTTTGGACAGAACCAGCAGCCAACATGTGGACACGATCACCACCGAGAAAACTCTCCAGAAACTCATCTTCACATCTAAGAGGAGTTCGACACCGAAGGTAAAAAACGGTTCGGATCCTAGAACCGGTACCGGAACAGAGCCGAAGTTTTCCTCATATACACGTCGCTTTAACTGCAGAAACTCCGTCACAGCTTTTGTTGACAAGAAAAGTAAAATCCCAACCAGGAAGTCCACGCCCCCACACGGCTGACGTCAGAGACAACGTGGAGGGAGCTGCGTTCACGGCAGCTCGGAAGTTTAATATTTGACCGTTAAACAAATACCGGAAAATACCAAAAAACAAAGTAAAACAATGAATAACTGAACGGATAAATGAATAAACAGAGTTGGACAGTCTAGCTCAAGTATATATATATCTACTTTAAATATTTTTACTAAAGTAAGAATTACTCAAGCTAGAGTAAAAAAGTATTTGGAGAAAGGAAAACATCTAAAGTACTGAGTAACTGAGCAAAAAGTCTGACCTAATATTTTAAAATTATGTGTTTAGACAAACAAAAGTATGAAGTTCTGTTCAAATTCTGGCATTCTGAGGAGTAAAATATACAAATTACTACAAATAAGTACAAATTAACCTATTATGGCACAAGAAACACTTTTCCTAATAATTATTTTTCAACCAGCTAACATAAAAATAATACATATAATAGGTAATGTATAAATATTTTAGAACATTATAAAGTACTTTCTGTGACAATATACAGTGTTTATTGAATCTTACTGGCACAACAGGCTCAGCAAGTAGAAAATAAAATTAGAACAGAGCTGGTCTAGAAACAAGAAGCCTAATTTTAACATATACAGCAGTTAGCTGGGTATTTTTGGTTAAAGCATGTTTGTTCTTCATTTAAGTTACTCACAGTATACACAAGTAAGAGTAGCAATACTACGTAATAATAATATTTGTCATGTGAAACCAACATTTTTTTCCCTTAAATGTAAAATGAATATATTTTTTGTACAATTTAATGTAAAATCTGAATATTTTGTTCTTTCAGCAAATTACCCTTTTTTCGAGTCAGCATACTCCAGTTAATGATTGACTATAATTGATTAATCACAATTAATCGTTTCAGTCCTATTGCAACAAATTTCACTTGAGCTGTTGTTGCTTTTATTACCAGAAACAACAAATTAAAAACGGAAATTAAAACATTTTGTAAGAACAAAACCTCCAAAAATAGAAAATAAAAATAAACTTTTTAACTAATAATAAATAGAGCAATGTTAGTGGAGAAACAATTGATCTGGGAAACACTTGAATCACAACGAGCAGCAGCTTTACAGCTCTCTATCGGTTGCCATGGAGACGCTTGGGCGTAATGCTGCTGTGATCGACTGAAATAAACTTCAAAGTCCGAATGATTTAAGTGTCTGCTTTAATCCTGCCTGTGTGCAGCAGCTGTTCACCTGACAGGCACTGAGCCCGCTCACATCTGGACGGCACCGGCGGCGAGACGCCCGGACCTCACACTGGACCCTTCACACCTTCTGCTTCACAGGTTCCGGATCTCAGAACATTTTTCAGTTCAGACCTTTGTTTTTACACAGGACAAACATGTCTGGTTTCTATCCAGTTAAACACAATTTGTTCCAATTGTTTGGTCAGATTATAAGTATGTTTTCACACCTGGTAGACTCGGTTTGATTGGGAACCAAAATTGCAACATTTATTACATTTTCAGCTGCTGCGATTTATTTTCACACGGTAAATCTTTCAACAACCTGTTCCCCTCCTCGCCTGTGGGGGCGCTTCAACAAGAACCACTGAAGGAAACGCTGAGCACCACTTCCTTCACAAAATGTAAACAAAAATGAAGATTTTAGCGGTTGGAGGATTTCTCTTATCTTTGGCTGAAGACCACAAGCCATTCCTCCCGCTCGCGCTAACCTAGCATGTTTGTTTTTGTTGTATTTACCCAGAATGCCCTGCGCTGTAGTTCACTTCTTGGTTTTGGAGGGGCTTCCGGTCCGGCTTGGCGTTCATAAATCCATTCTAACCGCACCAGAGTTCGCTTCAACCGAACCCAGACCTACGTTTGAAGGCGGATCAGAGTTAGCTTGCACATTCACACCTCAAGCAACTATAAGCAAATGGACTGGAGTTGGATTAAAGCAGGCTGAACCGGGCCGTGTGTTTACAGCCTAATACTTACATGCATTCATGTAAAGAAAACAAACAAACAAACAACCACAAAAAAACAACAACCGAATTATCAAATTAACGTCAGAATTCTTATAAGAAAAGGACAAAATTCTACAAAAAAATTAAAAATCAGAATTCTGAGGAAAAAGTAAATTATACAATATTAAATGTTAAATTAGTTTCATCTTATATGTTACAATTACAAATTACACCTTTAATTCCATAAATGAAGATAAATGTAAACTTTTACCTTAATTTATGAGTCTAAAGAAAGTAAGCCTGTTCAACCTTTTCCATTAATATGTAATTTTTTAATGTGTATCTGATGGGAAGCAGCTGATGAGTGATGGAGTCATGAAGTGAACACGTGACCATGTGAGGGTTGCTGGTTTGATTCCCAGAGGATCAAAGCCTCCAGATGTCACGCTAATGTACATTTATGTATTTGGGTTATTTCCTTATTTAGGCTGTTGACAGAGCGCCTCGTGCCTGACGGAGCCGCGGACCAATGGGAGCGCGGCCCAGCGCTCGTGCAGCGCTCTGATTGGTCGGCTCGGATGCAGACTGCAGCAGCATCCTCTCTTCCCCGCAGATCCAGCGGACATCTGGAGCGGTCCTGCCTGCCTCACAAGCAGACCCTCCAGCATCCGAACACCGACACCCCGCGCCGAGCCAGCCCGGGGTTCGCTGCTCGCCTGCCGGTGTGAACCCAGCCTCTCCCCGGGGCTGACATCGCTCAGTTCGGCTGGATCTCCGCCGGGGAGCCGCTGCGCTCCGGACAGACTGACCAGCCGGCGGAAACGCGGAAATATTCCCGGAGGAGGAGAAGGATGGTGATGGACTGAGCTGATCCGACATCTGACGGGTCGGAGGCCTGATGGAAGCTGCGATACATTTGGACCTGGATCATCCCGGTCCTGGTTGCGGTTCGGCGTAAAGACGCGGGTCCATCACCGGCTGGTTCGGTTCTGTTTTTCCTCTTCAGTTTGTCTCGTCACAGACGGACTAAACGGACCCGGTTCCGAGTTGGAGGGCGCAGGCGGATCCCCCTGCTGGTCTGAATTAGAACCCGTCCGGATCATGAATCACCCCCCTCTGAGGCTCTAATCTGGGTTTTACTGAACTGGATTTAAATCACAGATTACGCCGCTCCCGGTTCTGGTGATTATTATTTGGACCTGGTCCTGCTGGCGCTGGATTCGGGGAGCCCTGCTGGCATCATGCCGACCTCTCGGCCTGGTTCGGAGCCGGTGGAGTTCTGGGTGGACGGGTCGAGGCGGGACGGGACGGTGGAGGACTTCTACGGCCTGGGCTCCGAGCTGGGCAGGTCTGGGCTCTGTTTGTCAGGGCGGTTCCGGAGGGGAAGTGGCGGGTTGTTCTGCTCCTTTGAGTGGGCCAAAGTTGTCCACATGTGGGTCCATGTGACGCTCCTCATTCAGGATTAACTTCATAATCCAGCCTGAGATGTTACTGGTAGCCGCGTCCAGCCGGGAACCAATAACATCAGAGCCGCTTCCTGCTCGCAGCAGAGACGGAAAACAGGCTGTTAATGAATTAATGAGGGTTTAACGGTGCAAACTCAACCAGCCGCCAGGGGCCTGGAGGCGGAACCGGCTGGGTAATAATCAGCTTAGCTTTAACGGGAAACTATCATTAGCATTTTTAATGCTACTTCATACAATAGTTTTGCTTCTTCATATTTTAGTGATAATATTTTTCCCTCCCACAGATTGGTTAAGTGGTCGCAGAAAGTGGGTGTGCACCCCAGGGGCGCCGCAGGAGAGGGGGCGCCAGAGCAGGCAAAATATTTCAAGTCAGAATTTTCTGTATTTCAGAGATATTTGTACATATGTAAAAAAAACAAAACAAAAAAAGATTAATCAGACACACTGTTGCATCCGCAGAGCTCTAAGAAAGCTGGCCAAGCGATGGATGTTTTTCATACTTTTATATTCTGTATATTTTTAAAGAAAACATTTTATGTTATATTGTTTTTGTTTCTCTATTTTTATTTTTTGCTTATGTTCAGCAATTTTTGGGGACATTTTAAAACATTTTATATTTTCATTTTGATAATTTTAATTTTAATGCTAAAATCAAATTTAAATTACTTTTTCAAACCTTTTTTTAAAATATTAAGGAAATATTTGGTTAATGTACTGCTATTTTTTCAACTTTATTTATAAGTCAGTTTTGCTGACATCACACACACAAGATAATAAATAAATTAATCTGCTGCTCAACAATATTTCACATACATGATGTTTATTCATATTTCACTGGTGATGTTTTAAAAACAGTTTGCTGATTTCAGTGCCGCTCATGTTCTCTTATAAACCACTGGAGATGTCTTCACATACGGGAGGAAATAGCTGGGAATCAGCAGAAACTAAACAATAAAAATGACAAAATAAGCAATAAATCTTGAGTTCTGAGGAAATTAAACTTTTCTTCTCATGTGTTGGAAAAGAACAGATCATTAAAACTTGAGGTGAATCTTGGATTCCAGTAAAACATGTCAGGTTGTGTTTTATTTCAGAAATATTCCAGTCAGAAGTCTCTATCCACTCGTCATCTGCATGAATCTAATATTAATCCTGGTTCTTTAATAATTTATCTGACCCGTTGTTTTCAGGGTCGGATGATTGTGGCTGCAGCTATAATTAGTTTTTATCGGCGGCTTGGAAACCAAGAAGGAGAATCATAGATTTCTGAAAGGCGACTGAAAGCGTTTTAGATTGAAAAGAATCGGTTCAATCCATTTTCTGAAAGCAGGAGTTACTGAATGAGAACGATTCAGATTTTTACCCCGATGGCGAGGTGCAGCTGCCCAGCACGGTGGAGGCAGCATCATTCTGTGGGCTGCTTTAGTCCACTTTTCGAAGTTGAAATGTAAAGACAGCAGAACAACAACCTCAAACACATCAGAACTGGGAATATGCAGAGAAGAAACATCCGTCTCTACAAACAGATTACATTTGACTCTTCCTTAACCCTTGTGCGTCCGAGGACTAAGGCAAACGTAGAGGACTAAAGGACTAAGGCAAACGTAGAGGACTAAGGCAAACGTAGAGGACTAAGGCAAACGTAGAGGACTAAAGGACTAAGGCAAACGTAGAGGACAAAAGGACTAAGGCAAACGTAGAGGACTAAGGCAAATGATACAAGTTTTACATATGTGGAGTTGGTTGGACGCCATTTCTACATACAAGGGTTAAACAACAGACTAATATCTTGCTGCTAGAAAAATATAAGGTATTAAACTTGTTAACTTATTTACTGAATGTTTATCAGCTGATGTCACTTTTAAGTAGTTAAAATAAAATGGCACTTAAATAACTCTGTGCTTCAAAATCCAGATATTTTTTTCAGTTTGCCAATAACGTGAAGCTAAATATCAGCAGCCATAATAAGACTGACATGATGTAAGCTAAGCTAAGATGATGCTAATGTTAGCAGGAGTAGCTTAGGATGAAGCATCTGGTTTGCTGATATGGGGTCCAGGTGAAAATCTGCTTAGGGCCCCAGAAAGGTTTGGACCGGCCCTGATTATCGTTTAATGCAATCAATCCTGGGACAATTTATCCAGAGAAATGTGTCATTGTGACAGATCGAATGAAAAACATTCAAATGAATAATTAAAACTAAACACAATGTTGTGGCTGAAGGCAGCGCGCCGTGTGTGTGTGTGTGTGTGTGTGTGTTGTGTCTCCGGAGCGCAGACCTGCTCCGTTTTAACGTTTCCTGGCTCTGATTGGCCGCTGTGTGACACATTATAACTGTGTTTGCCATTTGTTGGCGTCTCTGTGAACATGAAGTGCCAACGCTGACGCCGCGGCGTCCAACACGCTCTGCTTCATGGTGTCCCGTTGCCATGGAGATCAAGCAGGTCCCTGCATGGCGGTGTGATTGCTTCTCAGATGGATCTGTTTTCCCCACAGAAAACCAGAACCAACCTCCCCAAACACACACACACACGTGCGCGCCTCTATATGAGCAGAAGACCAATTTTCTAATTGTTCTTTTGTTCTTAACTGCAGAATTTATTTTTTTTATTGAACCTTTTTTCTCTCTGAAATGCAAATAAATAAATAAACCGGCGTCTTGCTTCTCCATCAAGTCTTTCCGGCTCTAAAAAATATTTAGAGTCTTTGTTCCTGTAATACAGAGTAAAACCACAGAGCTTCCCTAACACACACACAGTTTATCTGACTTTAAATGAAACATTTTTTGCACCTTTTTGGTTTTCTACTCCTTCTAAAAACAGCCAAACACTAAAAAGACGTTTTGGCATCATGTTAATATTTTCTTGGTGCTGGAAAACGAGCCGTTTCAGAAACAAATAAACTTAAGACAAAAGAAAACAAAAGAATAACTGTAGCAAAACTGTTTTACTTCAGATTAACTTCTCTGTCACTTATCAGGCTCAGACAAAAATTACATTCTTGTTTTTCTTTTTGCATAAATTTACTGTTACTTTTGTTTTAAGTTTATTTTCTTTGTGTATAACTTTGTTTATTCTTTTATTACGCTGCGATCAATAAAGTCAAACTCAAGTGAAGAAGTTATTTTATAATGTTTTTCCCTCATCAAAACAAACCTGGTTTGTTGCTTTGATTATTCAGGCCTCAGAAATCCTTTGATCTCCATGGCAACCAGTCAGCAAAACGTCTGGCTGGACCAAACTCAGAGCTGCTTCATTGAGCTACAAGCTGGAGTTCTGAAGGAATGTTATCTGAAAGCAACTCATTCAAATGGAATAAAAACTGGTGTGATCTCCTGTCGTCGGTTTGGGTGAAGTCCGGTTCCTCTGCTTCCGTCAGATGAATTCTGTCCTTCTTGTGTTTTCAGAGGAGCGACATCCATCGTGTACCGCTGTGAGGAGAAGCAGACGCAGAAACCCTTCGCAGTCAAAGTCCTGAAGAAAACGGTGAGCTACCAAAGCTAACGGCATGCAGCACAAACGAGGCGAAGCATTATGACCAGGGTCAGGTTATGGAAAAATCACTCCAAAGAGATGTAGCGATCAAATGTCTCAGCGATGACCTCACATGATCGGACGCTTTACTCACCTTGAACTGTGAAATATTTGAAAATAAAAGTGTCGCCCGGCCTTCCTCTGCTGCCTGATAAATGCATCTTGAACAGCTGCTGGTTGTAATTATTAAACTTTAATTCCCAGGTAGTAATTGTGTCCTTTAACATGAAAAAACTCCAATAAAAAGCACATTTACATCAGATAAAAGCAAAGGACCAGGTGCAGACGCAGCTGAACTCTGAATTACATTCCTAAAGATTAAAGGAGAAACGACATAAGAGGCGACAAACTCACTTCAGAGACAGGAGAGGACTCGATGTTCCACAGGATCTTTAACTCTTGATGTTTAGACCCAGAGAAACAGGTTTTAAAAATACCACAGAGGCATCTCAAAGATGGCACCTTCCTGTTAGAGGAGAACTGCAGCCTTAGCAGGATATTTGGTTTCTTGGGGTAAATTATTTGACCTCTTCTGCATGCAGTGTAATCTGCACTGAGAATGTAAAAACATCAAACTGCTTCAGGAGACTCCACCTCTTTTTCTACCGTTACTGTTATTATCACCTAACTGCTGACGTTTGTTTGTTTCAGATTGATAAGAAAATCGTTCGCACCGAGATCGGAGTCCTGCTGCGTCTTTCCCACCCAAACATCGTAAGTATCCACGATAATAAAAGCTTCATTTTGATGTTTTTGTAAAGAGTGAAAATATTTCAGTCCGTTTCCGTTTCCATGACCATCAGAAGGTTTTACAAGCTAATATTTGACTTGCTATCTAAATATTTAGTTTAATAATTAGTTACTTTGAAACTGTCAAATTTATAAATGAATGAGTAACTGACTTTGAAAAATGAGCCCCATGTTTTATCACTGACTAAATCAACCAAATTACTGCAGTTAATTTTTACAGTGTAACTCCATGTTTGATCAGTGTGAAAATCGATATCAACATTCGTTGTGTTTGTCTGCAGATCTGCTGAAACACGTAAACATTTCGGTAAAGAAACGGATTGAAGGACAGATTTTATGTTTGGATTAAACTGATGATTTGATCTAAATGCAGATATAAAAATAGCAGCATATGGTTCTGCTAAAGAGTCGCTGAGGTGTTTTGTGGTTGCTGCCGAGACGTGAAGTGTGAGCAGTTATTTCTGGTTACCGCGGTAACAGTTTGTTTCTATCAGAGCCAACGTTTCTGAGTTGGAGAAAGACTGAAACGGTGTTAAAATGTTTCCACAGGCAGAATGGCTTTTATCTGAGGACACGATGGAGTTCCTCTGATGACAGAAATCTATTCTGGTGATAAAAATAATCATTAATAAGAGTTTGAAGTCAACACATTGTTCCCTCCATCTCTGGCAGTGAAGGTTCTTCACTGGGAGACGTTCTCAATAATCTGGACTTCTGGATAAAGGAACAGTTCTCCCAGCGTGACCTCAGTTCTTTTTATTCTGATTTATAAGTAAATTAAAGGTTGAACTAATGTTTTAGGTCAGAAAGTCAAAAATTTCAGACTGAAATTTCTACAGTTCCAAGTATTACAAAAATAAAAATATGTATGTATGTATGTATGGATGATGGATGGATGGATGGATGGATGGATGATGGATGGATGGATGGATGATGGATGGATGGATGGATGGATGATGGATGGATGGATGATGGATGGATGGATGGATGGATGGATGGATGGATGGAGGATGGATAGATGAATGGATGATGGATGGA